AGGGCGCCCCACGCAGCCCCAGCTCCCTGCTCTGTCGCTGGCCAGAGACCTAGGGGCCCCCGCGGACTGGCGGATCCCTCCCTCGCCAGTGCAGGTGCCACAGCGGGGTTCTCTGTGCTCCACTGTGGTCAGTCCCAGCCTTTACCTGCCCCTCGTTCCTGCCTTTTCCCAAGAGAGAAGGAGAATAAACGTCTTGAAGATGCTCCTCTGACCCCGACCCCACCGCGCAGCGGCCTGGGGTGCCCACTCCTCCCTCCATCCCAGACCCGAGGCCTTGCTGCCTGGGCAAGAGTGAACAGAGGGGAGTAACCATAGTGTAGGGAAGGGGTGACCACAGAGTGCTACGTAGGTGCTGGGGTGCAGACAGTAAACGTGCAGTGTTTACCGTGGGGCTGAGAAGAAGGCACTCCGACCCGCGGGAGTCTAGTTCTGGGACCCCGGACGGCCCTTACCCTTCCTCAGACCTTCATTTTTACCACCAGAAAGAGAGCCACCGTGAGCATCTGATAGGTGCCAGGTACTGTGCTGGGACTGCAGTTTGGACACACTACCTGATTTCTGCAAGCTCCCACCGCAGTCAGCGTTGGAACTCAGGCTGGTCTGTGCTTGATTCAACTGTCCTCCCACCAAGGGGGGCCTTCACACACCCCTGGATCCCTGAGATCTAGAGTCTGCCTGAGGCAGCACCTCCCCAGCCGGAAAACAATCTAGAACAATCTCTTCAAAAGCAGTAGGAGGAGGGAGGGGCTCTAGACCCCGTGCCCATTTTAGCCTGGGCGAATGTGTGAGCACTAATTGAACTAATGGCTCTAAAGTGCAGGGGACTTTGGAGATGGGGCAGCCAGCCACAGTTAATAAAAAGGCTTTGATGACCCTTCCTCATCCTGGGGACATGAATATGCTTTCAGTCCTCACACGCCCTCCTGCCCAACCCACTGCTGTTCTTTTCTTTTCTTTTTTTTTCTCATTGAGTTTATTGGTACTTTTTAGGTATACAGTACAGTTACATTCATCAACCCACTGCTTTTCTGATCTCAGGGGCAGAGTGGTGCCTGTGGCCACAGCTTTCCCCCTCGTGAGAAGACTGGGACACCAGGCAGAGAAGCCCCACACTACCCTGAGACATTCTCTACCCCAAGTCCCATTGATAGATACAAAACTGAGGAGAGAGGCATGGACCAGGGTCTCAGGACCCTTGATGTGGAGGGGCCACCCCTCTGTCCAAACAAACCCCCTGTTCCCACTATCTGAAAATTCCACCATTAGGGGCATTTCTTTGTCTTAGAGTTTTCCAAAAGCCCAAAGAGCTACCTCTTTGGAAAAGGAACACTAACTACAGTTATCTCACAGAAGGTCTTTGAGCTCTTCCTCCCCATTTCCTGGTTTTTAGGTTAAGAAACTGAGGTACAAAGATGGAAGCCCTTGTAGCAAATTCACAGCGAATCAAAAGCAGCCACAGAATAGCCCTGCTGTCCTAACCCATACCAGGATTCCTCGCCCTGCCCCCCAAGTTTCTGCCTGGTCACCTTGGAAGAGGCGAGATGGGAGTGGGCACAGGGGTTCTCAGTGAGCTGCAGAATCTTACCGCCCATCCCCTCTGTACCCCCAGGTCTACCCTACCGGGCTTACCGGGCCTACCGAACCTCCCCAGCCCCATCTGTGTCCTTGGCCACATACCTTGTTCTGGGGACGCGCTTCAGATGGGACCTGACCTGTCCGGGACAGGAGCTGGAGACACAGCACCCTCCCTCCCTCTCCTTTTTCTTTTTCTCTTTCTCTCTCTCTTTCTTTCTTGGCAGCTGCTGCCTGCCTGGCCCTGCTGGCCCGCCCCACCAGCTGCAGCTGGGCCCCTCGGGACCCCTCCCCCTCCCCCCAGACAACCAAGGGGCCTGCGGGAGCAACTGGAGCCTCCGCAATGCTCCATCACGGGCCTCAGCAGGAAGGAGAGGAGTCAGTTAGAGGTCACAGAATCCACTCTTGTCCCAGCGGAGGGGAAAGGAGGGAGAGGGTCCTGATGGATCTGTCCTCTAGTCCAGTAATGGGGAAAGGGGAGCCTCCGCGCCACCTGCTGGCTCTTCTAGGTAAAACCCCAGGCAGATGTAGGGCATTGGGAGGGGGAGACGGCAGTGCCTGAGAATTTGAGAGGGAAGAGGAAAGGCGGCTGGTGGGAGGATTTGGGGAGTTGTAGCTGTGCAGTGCAGCCTTCCCAGGCCTCACAATGCATGGGGTGCTTGGGCACTGACTCAATTCGTAGAGAAGCCCTGATGCTTAGAGCCCGACAGCCAGTGGGAGCTCGGCTGGGGACAGGGAGAGGGAGAGCGGGAGGGTTTAGAGAAACAGTGGGCAAGCCTGGAAAGGGGCGTCGGCCTGAGTTAGGTTATGGACACCATCAGAGCTCCAGCTCTTGGCGCACAGCCTGCATACCGTAGGCACTCAGTAAATGTTTGGTGACTGTACCAAATAAATTCATTCTTCCAACTTTTTGTTTTTTTGGTACTGGGGATAGAACTCAGGTCCTTGTGCTTGCGAGGCAGGCAGCAGAACCATTGAGCTAAATCCCCAGCCCCTTCCAACACACGTTTACTGAGCAAGCTATTATGTACCAGGCTCTGGGCGACATTCTGTGAATGCAGCAGTGAAAGTGAATGCATGAACAGGGACCTGAGTGTGCTAAAGGGAGAACCTCTGTCCTGCTAAGCTGTGCTCATTGAGGACTTCACAGAATCTCCTGCGGGGCTGGCTGTCGCTCTCACGTTGGCTCCTGGTAAAGTCATCAGCATCTGGACCCTCTTAAAGTGTCCCAGCACCCAACTCAGACAGCAGGTGCCCAAGCTAGATACCCAAGTAACCATTTAGAATAGAAAGGCTTCCCGGGCACGGTGCTCTATGACTGTCATTCCAGCATTTAGCGGGCTAAGGCAGGAGGATCACCTGGACTTCAAGGCCAGCCTGGGCTACATAGCACTCTGTCTCAAACAAACAACAACCCCCAAAAAAAACTAGCATCAAAAAAAAGGGAGGCTCTTGTTCAAAGCCTAGAATGGTCATGGTGGTTCACCTCTGTGGTGCCCCTTAGATAGATACATACCCCTTCACTTTGAAGGCCCCTGGGGTAGGGGCCTGGAACCGAGGGCTTCCCAGAGCACATCCTTCCTGGGAGGGCTCAAGAGGGTTGTTGTTCAAAGACAGTTGCTGAGCCTGAAACTGAGACCACAGCAGGAAAGTAATGGGCTGGCCCATTCATTCCTAAGAAAAAAACCTCTGGGGCTCCTCACTATGCTGAGAAATGAGGGTACTTGTGCCCGTTTTATAGATGAGACAGAGACTCAAAAAGAAGACGTGACTAGTCTGGGGTCATGCAGTTGGAAGAGTTGGGAGATACTGGTCTGGCCTGTCTAATCTCAAAAATCCAAAAGTCCTCATCATGGCTCAGTGGTACAGGGCTTGCCTAATATGCATGAGGTCCTCGATTCAACTCCTATGGCTGTAAGAAAAATATGTGGGTTACAAAATTACTTATTTATTTTTGGTTTTTTGAGACAAGGTCTTACTATATAGTTCATTCTGGCCTTGAACTCACTAGGAAGCCCCAGGTTGGCCTTGAATGTGTGGCAATCCTGCCTCCACCTCTTCATTACTGGGATTTTAGGTGTGTGCCATCATGCCCAGAAAAAAAAACCCAACTTTAAAAATACCCATCATAGGGCCAGGGATTTACCTCAGTGGCACCATGCCTGCCTCATAAGTGCAAGGTCCTCAGTTCGGTCCCCAGTACCAGAAAAAACAAAAAACAAAAAACAAAAAAAACCATCATGGCCCGGTGTGGTGGTGTACACCTGTAATCCCAGCACATGAGAGGCTGAGGCAGGAGGATTGCTGCAATCTCAAAGCCAGCCTGAACTACATAGAGAGACCCTGTCTCAAAAAAAAAAAAAAAAGTTCTGAGAGTCATGTGAGAACTAGCCTAGAGAGAGGATGGCTCAGAGGGAAAAAGGAATCATCAGCCACGAGGTCCAGGTGAGCAGTGTCTTTGTGGAGCAGAAGCAGAGGAGGTGGAGTAACGTGGGGCAGGGTGTGGCCTGAGACACTGGGAAGAGGAAAAGCAGAACTAGTACTGAAAGACTGTTCCAAGTTTGCAAGAGAATTTGGAATGTCTTTATTCACTCAACAAATACTTATGGAGGGGTTGTTGTTGTTTGTTTTTTGAGACAGAGTGTTTTGTAGCTCAGTGCTGGAAACTATGTTAGGTCCTGGGAGCATAGATGTGAACAAGATGAGCTACAGAGAGGTGTGGGAGAAAAAGGAGTAACGTGGAGAAGTGTGGGTGGCATGTTGTTAGGTAGTGTGATCTGTCTGAGGAGCCGTCATCTGAATTATGACCTTAAAAAGAGAAAGACAGGTATAACACAACACATTCCAGGAAAAGTGCTCCAGCCACTGGGACAGCAAGTACAAAGGTCCTGGGGCAGGAATAAGTATGGCATGTTCAGGAAACTAAAAGAATCCAGAGGAACTGGAGCTTCATGAGCATGATGGAAGAAAACAGGTCAGTTGTAGTT